ATATTTTTACTACGATTGTACTGAGAACCTTGGGCTTATGCTGCTGAGCTATATCTCAACGGCCCTAAGCTTTATATTCCTTATCATCTCTGACTGGTCAATTGGCAGTTCCCATCAAATAAAAAAAAATACAGTAGATCCTCATCCCCCTTACTGAAAAGATTAGGCATTGCATCTTCTTGCTTTTCCCCAAAGTCAAAATGACAATGAAAGATAAGCATTTCAAATTGGTTCAGGACACTGAATTAGCCAAGAGAGTGTAACTAAAGACCCTCATGAAAGAGGATCTCTAGAGCTAACTAGAGACCCTCATGAAAGGATCTCTAGAGCTAAACAAGTATGTTGGGATGATCTGAAAGAGGCTGACACCTCCATACTTCAGTGACTGCACCAGCAGCCTTCATAACCTGAAGGGGGAAATGAGTTTCTGGTCTAAAACTATGGAAACAGGATGATTGCCAACAGGAGGGGATCTGTATGTTCAAAGCAAATCAAAGCAAGAGGGAATATTTTGAGGGCAATTAATGGTAGTTTTTTTTACTGTGAAAAAAATTTTCTATCACACCCCATACAATAAAAAGTGTGGTACAGTAATCCATAAGCTGGTAACATACTTGTTTATTAATGATTGCTAGCTCAGTGTATTTGTTTGGATCAACACTGTCACAAACATGCTGGGATTGCCCTGGGCTAATTCCTAGGTGACAAGAAACTTTCAGCTCCATTATCCTGTGGTGCGGGCCTACACAGATTTGACACATTTACAAAAGGCAGTCTGCAGGTGAGGTAGAGGGAAGAAAGTCTCCAAGGGTGAATAGCCCTGCAACTCCTAGTCTGTTGTTCGGGGAGAAATACAAGGTTGAAATTGCTCACTCAGACTCATCCTGTCCTAAGGAACTTCATAGAAACTCAGGGAAGACCGTTTGCATTCCAAATACTGCTAAATTCCACACTACCAATTCACACCGAACATTTAAGTCTAGAAACTTACTGCATTTAAAGATAAGAAATAATTGAGAATGATCTTGTCCAGTGTTACAATTGGGATCCAAAATGTCCCTGTGAAGGCTCACTGTGGTGAAGGGCTAGTTGCACAAATGGGTTTATAGAAAGCAATCAGACCGTGAGTGTGAGTGGATTCATCTGTTGGAGTTTGTAGCTGCATAGGCTGCTAGGCAGCGGGACCTGCTTGGAGAAAGTAGGTGACTGCTATGGGTCGCTTAGAATAGGAATCAGATCAGCCAGATTGGAATTTGGAAAGCTGTTTATTACTGAGCTCAGGGCCCCAATCAGCTCTCACGCAGGAGAGGACCGAAAGGCAGCTAGCCCAGGAAGCAGGGGGGCTTTCAAAACATGAAACTACATTCTGTTTGGTAAACACATTCATTGTCTGACACACAATAATGCTTTCAGGGTCAGTGTAACCACTACTCACACTAAATTTCCTGGGGCTTTTAGTTTCTGGTTATCTTGCATCTGAGTACCTGCAGGCAGCCTTACATAGCCTGTAGTTACAAGAAGTTAAAACCCATTTAATTTCCTTTTGAAGTCATCTCTGTAAGCTAACTTTGTTAACAGGAATTGGTGAGGGTTACAGGAATTTTATCTTAGCAAACAACCCGAAACAGCCATTAGTTACTAAACAACTTAGAACAGTGGTATACATTTTTACACAACAGAAAACACAAGATCTACATTTATAATCTAAAATGTGAGTTGACCCATTACAGTGACTGACGGGCATGCCTTTGTCCTCAGCCTCTTCCTGACTGGCTCTTTCCGTTCTCTCTGGCCCCCGGGGGTTGGGAAGTAAGCAGCATTCTTCTTTTATAACCAATGACATTGTATATGTCATGTAATATATAGTAATATTGTCTTACCTTTGGTCCCGGAAGCAAGTGTGGACTGAACCCCCTGAAACCATGAAACCAGGTAAATCTTTTAAGTTGTTTTCCTTAAGTATAATGTCAGTGAAAAATACTAACAAGCAGTTTCATACAAAGATACTCCAAGTCAAGAAGGAAAGAAACGAGGAAAATAACAGCAGATAAAACTCACTCTACAGAAAGAATTTAAGAACATGAAGAATTCATACAGATAGGCGATCAGAAACACCATGTCAAAACAACAGAAGAAAATGCAGGGGCCGGGGAGCTAGCTCAGTGGAATAAGTGCTTCCCTGGCAAGCACAAGGGCCTGAGTTCAATCCCCAGTTCCAAAAAAAAAAAAAAAAAAA